GGTTTCCCTCCAATGTGAGTATATGAGTACCGCCTTATCAAGGTTTCCCTCCAATGTGGGTATATGAGTACCGCCTTATCAAGGTTTCCCTCCAATGTGAGTATATGAGTACCGCCTTATCAAGGTTTCCCTCCAATGTGGATATATTAGTCCCGCCTTATCAAGGTTTCCCTCCGATGTGGGTATATGAGTCCCGCCTTATCAAGGTTTCCCTCCAATGTGGATATATTAGTATATTATCAAGGTTTCCCTCCAATGTGGGTATATGAGTACCGCCTTATCAAGGTTTCCCTCCAATGTGAGTATATGAGTACCGCCTTATCAAGGTTTCCCTCCAATGTGGATATATTAGTCCCGCCTTATCAAGGTTTCCCTCCAATGTGAGTATATGAGTTTTTTTTTTCTTTTGGATCCTACCTAACATTTGCCCTTTGTGCGATCTTTTCTAAACAGAGAACAACATAAAACGATGAACGAAAATTGTTTTGTTAAATACAAAATGGCGTTTTTTTTTTTTTGTTGTCAAACATCATGGCATGGCGTTATTCGACATCGAGAAATTTGATACTTTTAGATATGTTTGATGCAGGAAATATTCCTATTTTTAAATGTACACGAACACTCTAGATATCCCCTATAAACATTATATTATTTGTGATAATAAACCTACCCCGTTTAAATATTGTGATACTAGCCCCGAACATCGTTCATAGTGTTTAGATGCATCACAATTTCTTTATCAGGACTGACATGACATATGATATGGGTTAACCACGACCAGGTATTAGTTTGTTTAGTGTTAAAATACAAGATGATTTCCAGTTCTGGTTCGAACTGTGTGTAGTTTACGTCTAACGTAACGTTCACTAACAAGCCCGATTTTTATTACAGCCGTTCCGTTGAGTTCCGTTTGAAAGTCCAGCCTGTGACTAAATAACGTTATAAAACTACTGCTTTATTTGTTACCTTTCGAGCTTGCTGCAGCTACACAAATGATAAAGCATACACTATTACCTAGTAATAATAGACCATGATTAAACACGGTCATGGATAATTTATTATCGTGTTTGTGTTTATATGTTGAGGACATACTTTACTGTTACAAACACGCGAGACAGTACACCCCTATAGTTTTAACACCAGTAAGCATCAGCTTTCATTACAGCAAGACTCTGCACGTACCCAGCTATCCACTTTGTCTAAAATTCACGACTTCGATCTCCTTAATAACGTTTGGGTATATATGAGTCCTGTCCATGAAAAAGTGAGTGACGTATCGGTGAGGTGATCTGACTTAGGAAATTCAGCTAATTCCTAGGGATGTGACCCCTTACCCCACTTCAAATCCAACCAATCAAAACTCACCTTTACTGCATTAATATCCAGGTAACAGTGTCAGTGATAAAATTGACGACCAGTATCTCGGTGGTCACAATTTTCCCAGGTAGAGAGCTGTCAGTTGATCAGTGATAACGAGTTCACATAACAAGATGGGCGAGTGGTCAAACGGTCTCTGTGGGTGTATGAACAATTGCACATTGTGTCTCATCACATACATCGCTCCGTGTTACACAGCCGGTAAAAATGCTGAGGCTGTCGGGGACAGTTGTATCGTGGTAGGCGCTCTCTACTGGGTGTTTCCTATCGCCGGTGTCTTCTTGTCCGCCAAAGCTCGTGAGAAAATCAGAGAACAGAAAGGGATTGAAGTAAGTACCGTTTTGCTTAGTGTCATTACTTGTTACAGGTGTTTGCCTTGTACGAATTCTGACATTACATTGTAACGTTTGATAGCATTGGGAACTTAAATGCAAACATTTGAAAGACTTTTCTTAAAAAATGCATGTGGATTCCTTGAATTGAGTCAGGCGTCATTAAAGCGAGCTGTTTCAAAGACGTGACTGATCTAAGAAAGCCAAATGTCATATCATAATACATTGAGGACAAGTAATATATCTGTCACAATAATAGTGCTATTTAATTAAGTTTTACATATCAAACACTGGAGGAAATAGCTATTGTCTCATTACAGCTGACCATTCCATACATCCGAGATATTGCTTGTATAGAATATTCATTTTATTCTGCCTTCATCTGAAATTCCGGTAAACGCCCTTCCGTCCCTATAACAAGCATGGCATGCTCTGTACGGTGGAGTAAATTTAGGCTGTTATTTCAGTAGGATGGTTTGGTGTGTATGTTTGTACCCTGAAACAAAAATCAACGGACCGCATCTCTCTCTAAAACTTGTTCAACGAGAAGGCGATTGTGTGTGATACAAATTTCTGTGCGCTCGTCTGTAAAGCTAGAACAAAGAGGCTCTCTACTCGCTAACTCCTAAGATAGAATTCCGTCTTGTTTCCTTAGTTAAAAATTACAAGTTACAAAAAAGAAGACTAAGGTGATTGTAGGTTCCGTAAACCCGCTTTGTTGCTCTAGCAATGAACCACATAATAGTTTACCTGTGGAAAGATATTGGAAATGTTGTTGCGGGAATGTGACAACGTACAGACGGACACTACTGTCGGTAAATGTGTCTGTCGTCCGATACACGGTGATGTTCGTGGATCATGACAACGTACAGATGGACACAACTGTAGGTAAATGTGTCTGTCGTCCGATACACGGTGATGCTCATAGATCGAGACAACGTACAGACGAACACTACTGTAGGTAAATGTGTCTGTCGTCCGATACACGGTGATGCTCATAGATCGAGACAACGTACAGACGAACACTACTGTAGGTAAATGTGTCTGTCGTCCGATACACGGTGATGCTCATGGATCGAGACAACGTACAGACGAACACTACTGTAGGTAAATGTGTCTGTCGTCCGGTACACGGTGATGCTCATGGATGTGACAACGTACAGACGGACGCGAATGTTGGTAGAATATGGGGCTAATGCACACACCCCTTTGGATTTTTTTTACTTCTTTCTTTCGATTTTCATTTTCTTGGTTCGCATTCTTGGTTTTCACAGTTGGTCCTGAATTTCACCGAAGACATTATTTTGTTTTTATGTATCCAATGGGTCTTAAATTGTCTTGAAACGTGTGTTTACATTTCTCTTGTACATATTGATGTACCCGGAGTGTGACAACACAGCCACAACTGTGTGTAAGCGAGTCTGCACTCACCACTAACCCACTGGCCTTTTCAGCTTTACGCCCGTTGTTCGATTCCCCGATCGGACGAGAACAGATATAAGGGTCGACTGCCAAACCACATGGGTTTCCCCGGGTACTCCAGTTTCCTTCCACAGGAGGACCCTTCTCGTGTTTCCATCCGGGCCAATAAGAATGATTAATATCAGCCGCTAGCATGTTTCACTGAAGTTTTTATTTTATACAAGTTGTTTGTTAATTCAGTTAAAAGCAGTTTATGATTATTTTTTTACGATAACGACCATGCATGTGTCTTATCTGATGTAAGTACCATGCCTCGACCTGTTTGCTTAACAATCGACTTTTACCAGAAATATAGACAATGTTATCGGGTTGAGAAATTCCTGAGCACAGATTATGACGAGGGTGGTATGCAGTCTTGCATACTTCTGCATGAAATCAAATACCACTTGATTGCTTGCAGATGCCTAGAGACAAAATTAACTGGAGCACAAAAAATTATCGACACGAATCATGTTGTAAGTTTAATACCCTGATCGTCAACCCGGACATATTTTCCCATACCTAAGTTTATTACTCTACATCTGAAACACGCATGATTAATTGTGACTTCCTGTCACTGTTGAAATCAGTCGGCTAGGTCAAATTTGAATGGATCACGCGATGACTCGTCAGCTTTACAAGGGGAAAGCTCCTACCGATTGATGTCAATAGTATTGATTTCTGAAATGTATTTTTAAATTCTTTGCAAGGGCATTCATCAACCAGATTTTTCGAACATGAACGCGAAATACAATGATAAAAAGAATTCACATATCTTTATAAACAAAAGCGGATCCGAACCACTGTGTGTCAACAGATACGGTTGGGGAAATTTGAAATAGTTCCCTTACACATAATATAAAGAACAAGGCACAGACACATTGAAAATGACAAAAAGGTTTTAATGACAGCCCTACTAATGGATGCCCTGGGTACACATGTACATACACACGAAGAGGACGTTATAGTGGGGAACACAGCTAACCGATAAGTTTATGTCATTGTAGCATAGTATAGAAATATATTAAAAGTTTGACTGCCAAAAATAAAAGGAAATATTTATATAACAATAAATTAATCTTCTGAGTATAAGTTTTCTTTCTAAAATCAGTCAGTAGTGGATATGTCTAAGTTTCTTCACCTGTATTCATAAAGAGCTATCCTTGAAGAGCCCCTGAAGAGCCCCTGAAGAGGTTAACACACTAGGGAAGTCTCCCCTTTGTGTGACATCTATTTTATGATATAGTAAATCACTGGCCCCGATATTAGGGATAAGACTTATGATAGGTAGATCTAATATCCAAAGGTTTTACTTGGAACGTACAACTCTCACTTGTGATCATTGTGTCCAATTGAGATACATCTCCAACGCACTTTCTTTCCAAAGCGCCTAGCTAATGTTCTCACTGGCATTTCTTATTCTATTGACTAAGATAAAGGCATTGTTTATAACGAAGATGTCATTTCGGCATTTGTTCAGGTACATGGCCTATCTTTGGGTAATGATACTGTTAGGATTGTACAGAATGGCGCCTTTCAATAAAATTTTAGAAGTAGATGGTATAGCTAATTAATGAACTGTATCATACAGCGGTTTCGTCCTTCTAACACTCGTCAGCGATGTTGAAAGAATGAAACCTAAGACAAAAAGGAAATTCAAATTGATCGGGATAAATGTCTCGATCCATAAATCAACAAATTTTCATAATTTTCAGATAGTAGGCGATATCAAAAGAACGTCAAGGTCTGAAACTGATTCCAACAGAAGATCTGTTGACGAGTTATGACAAGTTTACAACAGGCTCCTCACTTTCTTTTATCTATTTTCAGGGTGGATTTGGTGGTGACTGCTTAGTCCATTTATTCTGTCCTCTTTGTGCGCTAGTACAAGACGCTCAGGTAAGTTGGAAGCTTTAAGTAATAATGACGTATTTTGTGAGATTCGATGCGAATATAGCGGATGAAGACTAACTTACACGCCTTGTTGATTTTCTGTAAACTCTCTCGACTATAAAACTTTCCGTAAGTTATTGAAAGATTTGGCGCTTAATTGACGATACAACTGCTAGTAGATATTGTAGGATGTTGTCGCTATATTGACTGTAATTTTTTCAGTATTTTTAGTTAAAAATTGTCAGGAAATTGCTGTGGTTTTTTGTCGTTATATTGACTGTAAAATGTTCAGTAGATTTAGTTAAAATTTGTCAGGAAATATCAGTGGGTTTTTGTCGCTATATTGACTGTAAAATTTTCAGTAGATATAGTTTAAATTTGTTAGGAAATTGCAGTGGTTTTATGTCGCTTTAATGACCGTAACATTTTCAGTAGATTTAGTTTTTAAATTTGTCAGGAAATAGCAGTGGGTTTTTGTCGCTTTATTGAATTAAAATTCTCAGTAGATTTAGTTTAAATTTGTTAGGAAATTGCAGTGGTTTTATGTCGCTATATTGACTGTAAAATTTTCTGTAGATTTAGTTTAAATTTGTTAGGAAATTGCAGTGGTTTTATGTCGCTATATTGACTGTAAAATTTTCTGTAGATTTAGTTAAAATTTGTTAGGAAATTGCAGTGGTTTTATGTCGCTATATTGACTGTAAAATTTTCAGTAGATATAGTTAAAATTTGTCGGGAAATTGCAGTGGGTTTTTGTCGCTTTATTGACTGTAAAATTTGCAGTAGATTTAGTTTTTAAATTTGTCAGGAAATTGCAGTGGGTTTTTGTCGCTATATTGACTGTAAAATTTTCTGTAGATTTAGTTAAAATTTGTCAGGAAATTGCAGTGGGTTTTTGTCGCTATATTGACTGTAAGATTTGCAGTAGATTTAGTTTTAAAATTTGTCAGGAAATTGCAGTAGGTTTTTGTCGCTATAAGAACTGTAAAATTTTCAGTATATTTAGTTTAAATTTGTCAGGGAATTGCCGGGTTTTTTTTGTCGCTATAAGGACTGTAAAATTTTCAGCCTATAGAATTATAAATAAATTTCTATAGGGGTTTATCGCTATGTTTATAAAATTGTCACTTGAATGTTGTGAAATTTTTGTCATTACACCAACTATGAACTTAGAATTGTCGGTAGATATTCTTCATCATATATATATCCCAAGTATTGTTTTGTTTTTGTTTTTGTTTTTCTGTTTGTTTTTCTTTGAATGTTCCGACACTGTAATATTTAAATAATGCCCGTGTATTAGCTGAATGTTTTTGTTTCGGTCGTACGATAGAGTAGAGTATTCGTTCGATTTGTTGTATAAGTTGTTCATTAACACTTTCTATAGAATGGGTAACAATACATGGACACATCCAGTAAACTATTTGTTTTCTATACACAAAGTCACATTCAGACACCATTATTCAATGAACAGCAATATTCACCATAAACCTGTTAATCAGGATTGAATATTTGACAGCGGATTGACACAATCCATTATATTCAAACACAGTCAAATCTACTTTATTAGACCGGTCAGTTATTTTAGTCCTTCAACAAACCTCCTTCGTTATTGACATAGGTACTCGATACACAGGCCGGACAAACGACCTTGAACGAATATTAGCAGACACTGATCACAACAGAACAATATTCGGAATTCTTAATCCACTGCTCCACTAACTTGAATGACCAGTAGGCGTTTTAAATACACGCTGACCTGCTTACACTCTCACTTGATAAAAGTGGATTTACCAGACTAATGGTTACTACAAGTGACCACTTGATACAAGACATGACTAAAATTTTATGATTATTGTAACACAACTGCTGTTACCCACATTCTACACAACTTGTTAATGAATAAGTCAATGTATAATTAGACTGATGTATCCTTTGGAGGTGAGAATTAGTGTTAATCAAAAATTCACAAATATCATGAGTAATGAAAGAAATACATTTTTAGAGAGAATACTCCTCAAAATCATCATATTTGTGTTTACTTGATTATCACAGGAAATTGATGAAAACATTTTATCACAAGAAAATTGTTTAAGACGCTTTATCACAAGGAAAGTGTTTAAGACATTTCATCATTAGGAAATTGTTTAAGACATTTCATCATTAGGAAATTGTTTAAGACATTTTATCATTAGGAAATTGTTTAAGACATTTCATCATTACGAAATTTTTTAAGACATTTTATCATTAGAAAATTGTTTAAGACATTTCATCATTAGGAAATTGTTTAAGACATTTCATCATTAGAAAATTGTTTAAATTTTTTAAAATTGTTTACATTTTATCATTAGAAAATTGTTTAAGACATTTCATCATTAGGAAATTGTTTAAGACATTTCATCATTAGAAAATTGTTTAAGACATTTCATCATTAGGAAATTGTTTAAGACATTTTATCATTTGAAAATTGTTCTATATATTTTATCATTAGGAAAGTAGTCGATACATTTTATGACAATTATCCAAAAAGGAAATAACATCATACAAACTAAAAGGTAAAAAACAAATGCTAAAAATTTTAAATGAGTATATTATCACAAGAGATTGAAATTGTAAGTCGTATTATATAGACCAACATTTTTCAGATAACCTATAACTTTATTAATCTCAACGGTTTCAAAAAAGGATCTTTGGACTTGTAAACCAGCATGTAGTTGTTGAAGACAATATGACAATTTATACAATGTAAAAATTGAATGACTAATCTGAATATTTCTATGTGTACCAGACCTGTTAATTAAGTATTTAGTTATATGATAATCTGACAAGAGTCTTACTAACGATTATGCCAGCTATTGCTGACAATAGTAATCACTATATATAGAACTATTGTGGTTATAAGTACTGTTCTTACATATTTCACGGTTATGTACAATGCACATACCACACCAGGGCACGGCTAGGAGGCCAATTTGCCATTATCGACAGACCAACAGTCACGATTAGGACTTTTGTCATGGAGACCAGTAAATATTTTGCAGTTGCGTATAGCTTGTAACCAAAACAAAACACCAACAAAGCGCCGCAGTGAAGACGGCCTACATAAACATGTCGGGTCAAGTTCACGGGATTTATATTCCCTTTTCATCCTGCATGTTAAAATTATCATTCCATTTTTAGAATTGACCAATTTTATTTGATAAAATCAGTATATAATCGTTGTTATATTGGTACGAAGAAACACATTCGTTTATATTTCAAGATTTTCGGCTCTTCTATAATCCTGTAATCATTTGTGCGACGAAGGTGTGATGTTAGACGGTCTTCTACTGGTAGTAGTTTAAGAACTTCTATTCTATATCAACCTGAAGAGTATTCCTACAAACTGTTCTGACATCAAAGGTGTTAGATCGCTAAAATCATTGTCATAACTCTATAGCAATACATCAATATTGTGGTTGAGGTATGATTAAAACTCTAAGCTGCGAAATCTCCAAACAACTTAACCCTGATCGTTTTATGGTATATTGTATATAAAGTTGATGTCATAAAACGATCCCATGGTCAACACACGTTTTAATAAAAGAGCTTTGCATGTTAGAAGTGACTTCAGAACAATAAACCACAATAAGAACACAAACAGTGGACATATCCTACATGCTAGATCTTGTTCGGAGGAAGTGAAATCCTTTTTCTAGTAGAGGCAACTTAGTCCCGTAACCGTCTAGAATTCAGATCTTTTTTAGGTGTTGGTAATTTATGGCACTTGATAAGGCTTACTTATTTTGTCAGTATTGATTGTACTGGATTTTCCAAAAGCACATAGTACGTAGTGTTTGTTTAGTATGCGTGAGAACTCCCCTTTACCAATTTAAATGAGGCCATACGATATAGCTTTTTTCAAATACCTGACCTGAATGGGCGTAACCAAGCATAACTTGTTTTTTGTTGACATCGTAACTAACGCCTGTACAGACCTAACACAGAACAGTGCTGCAGACCTTGCGAACAATCAATATGTGTTATAATTACCATTGGTACTAGTGCTAGATGTGACACAGGGTAATGTGATCGGTGACAATGGAAAAGGGGGACTTGGTTACCACGTTATATCTGACGGAAACAAACATATCAGAAACACTGAATGTATATTACAGTGTTGTGTATCGACATACAAAAGAAGAAAAACGCGAGGAAATGTCATTTTCTGGTTTTATCGGATTGATTTAGATAAAAGAAGCAAACTGAACAAATTAAAATTGCAAACGCGTTGAAATTATGGACAACGCTTATAAGTGACAATTAGTCATTATATTCAACACTAATTAGTGAAAGTGGTAACTATAGACAACACTAACTACAGACAGTGGTAACTATAGACAACACTAATTAGTGACAGTGGTAACTATAGACAACACTAATTAGTGACAGTGGTAACTATAGACTACACTAATTAGTGACAATGGTTACTATAGACAACACTAACTAGTGACAGTGGTAACTAAAGACAACACTAACTACAGACAGTGGTAACTATTGACAACTGTAACTACAAACATCAATAACGAGAAGCTGTGAATACATGCTATTGCTTCTCATGTATTTTCTAAAGATTTAATTATTTTACTGCATGACACGTGACCACCTATGTATAACTAATGGACCCAGATTGTTCCATACAATTTGACATGCCATCCTTCGAATGCAAATCAAAGGAATTCTACACAAAGGCATGTGAGAAATATCTAGGTCAAATTAGGTCGATACAAACTTAGGTGAGGTAGATATACACACAGCTTATGTTGATAGGTATGCAGTGGAAATACATGAGTGGACACGCCTGTGTATGTTTGTGTCACCTCTCAGTAGATATAGTTTACCTATACACGCTATACAATACCACGCTTGTAAAGGCAGATACAACTCAATATATACTTATATATCCTGATATCACACCATCACATAAACCTTAATCCCATACCTCACAAACAGGTCATATGACAGTACAATTATTAAAAAAAAAGGTTATTTTCCAATATTTAGATAAAATATATTGACGTTTTCTGAATCACAGACAAGACAAATCAGATATTGCTTAAAAGAAAAAAGGGTTTTACATCCGAATAGGAAACCTTCCGTGTTATACAACCATACATAAAATATCACATGTATGCAAAAAAATTAAAATATTTCATGTTATACAATAAAACATAAAATTAAAACATAAAATATCTCATGTTATACAATAAAACATAAAATATCTCATGTTATACAATAAAACATGAAATATCTCATGTTATACAATAAAACATAAAATATCTCATGTTATACAATAAAACATAAAATATCCCGTGTTATACAATAAAACATGAAGTATCTCGTGTTATACAATAAAACTCGTGTTATACAATAAAACATGAAATATCTCGTGTTATGCAATTAAACATAAAATATCTCGTGTTATACAATAAAACATGAAATATCTCGTGTTATGCAATTAAACATAAAATATCTCATGTTATACAATAAAACATTAAACATTACATGTGAGAAAGTAAACAAATATAATTACATTTTGCATATGAAATATCTGGTAAAACAAAATGTTAAAAAATCGTTTATTTTTAAAACAATACAATATCGCGGATCAATTAGAAACAAAAAAAAAAAAACTTGATACAAAACATTACATGAAAAACAATACACAACAAAAGGTTACAAATTTCCTTAATATAATTCAAAGCATCCCACTTTTATCATTTTAAAATAGAAATTAAAAGCATAACACCAAAGTTAATGTTTCCACAAAAACATCTACTTATATTTAATTCTAGGCTAGAACACAATACAAATATTGGGAGTGACATGAAGTTAAAAATCGAGTAGAAAATTAATAAACATCAAAAGGGACTAATGACTTCACGCTTTATCAAACTGTTGTCTGGAACGTATTCCTTAACAACAAATTAAAACCAACATATATTAACCAAAAGTATTTGTCTCTTTATAGGAAATCCGACCAGGAGAATCAATGCAAGGGGAATCCATGGCAAGAGAATAGAGAGCAGATCACGTGATATGTACATAACACTTGGGACTGAAATCAACCAATCAAGTTTTGTGAAACAACCGACTATGAACTGCTGGAGCACTAGTGGAACTTTAACAATAAAAAAAATGTACTACATTTATGATAATTTGGGGAGCCTGTGAATTTTACAGCCTGCCTTGAGGACAATAGATCTCTAATACTTTTGTATAATTTTAGCAACGGCAACATCAAAGTGACTGCAAACAATGTACCCAAAAACGTAATCACCCTGTCTGCCTTACAGATTTAATTTCTCTAATTTTATCAAAGGGTTTTATTTATGAAATTGTAACAAGCTTTGTACAGTTAATGATAGACATGTAAATTGATCTTAATTAATTTTTTATGGTATTTCAGCATTTTTATATCTACTGTGTAAATTACAAATAAATATTATTTTCGTCTTTATATTTGTGTATTCTTTATATCATATCGAAACGCAGTTTTTCTTTACTTGGAGAACATTGAAAACGAAGTCTATTGTTAGAGAAAATAGCATGACATCTGCTTGGTAATTAATAGAAAAAAATGTATCAAAAGATTAAGTGGAAAATTACAAAACCTAGACAAGACATATTTATGATTAAAAAGATGCAGGTTGGTGAATATTATTAGGATTAAGACGTTCAACCTTCCGGAACACCTTCATCTTATAATTTTTCGGACGTTTCCGTTTTTATTACGTTCGCCCTTTGTCCCGCGTCGTGCGTCGTAAACTTTTAACATTTTCGACTTCTTCTCAAAAACCCTGAACCGATTTCACTGAAATTTTACTGAAGCTTTCAATGGACAAACGTGTACAAAATTGTATGTTACATACAAAATTGTATGTTACATGTTCCCGATCCCACATGGGCCTTGTGGCCCCGATCCCACAGGGGCCTTGTGGCCCCGATCCCACAGGGGCCTTATAGTCCCTATCCCAAAGGGGCCTTATAGCCTTATATATTACATAATTGTCAGGATGACAGTTTGATGATATGTCCATCTTGACGCTGGCTGACCCCCAGGGTTTGATCGGCAGGGCCAAAAACGGCCAAATTGTCAGAAATTGGTGGATTTACTATCGTGTATATAGGAAAAAGAAATTTTCAGGCAAAATTCATTTCATTTTCTATTGGAAATAGTTCAAACGTGGTAAGAAATTTTACTGTTGGAGGACAGTTTGATGATATACACATATTAACGCTGGCTGATGGGCAGGGCGTCGGTTGATGGGCAGGACACTGGCTGATCTGCAGGGCGTAGACTGATGGACAGGGCGCTGGCTGATGGGTAGGGTGCTGGTTGATGGGCAAAGCGCTGGCTGATGAGCAGGGCGATGACTGATGGGCAGAGCCAAAAACTTTCCAATTATCAGAAATGTGTTCAAACGTAGTTATAATGTGTACATACTGATCCTGGCAATATACTAAAGTAACAACACACAACCACGGAATATACCACAGCATCAACACACAACCACATAATATACCACAGCGTCAACACACCACCACGGAATATACCACAGTATCAATACACAACCACGGAATATACCACAGCATCAACACACAACCACGAAATATATCACAGCATCAACACACAACCACATAATATACCACAGCGTCAACACACAACCACATAATATACCACAGCGTCAACACACAACCACGGAATATACCACAGCATCAACACACAACCAAGATATCTACCACAGCATCAACAGACAGCCACGAAATATACCACAGCATCAACACATATTCACGGAATATAACACAGCATCAACACACAACCATGGAATATATCTCAACATCAACACACAACCAAGATATATACCACAGCATCAACAGACAGCCACGAAATATACCACAGCATCAACACACAACCACGGAATATACCACAGCATCAACACACAACCACGGAATATACCACAGCATCAACACACAACTACGGAATATATCGCAACATCAACACACAACCAAGATATATACCACAGCATCAACACACAACTACGGAATATACCACAGCATCAACACACAACACCGGAATATACACAACAACATATACACACAACACACAACCACGGAATATACCACAGCATCAACACACAACCATGGAATATACCACAGCATCAACACACAACCAAGATATATACCACAGCATCACCACACAACTACGGAATATACCATAACATCAACACACAACCAAGATATATACCACAGTATCAACACACAACCACAGAATATACCACAGCATCAACACACAACACCGGAATATACCTCAACATCAACATACAACCAAGATATATACCACAGCATCAACACACAACCACGGAATATACCATTGTGGTATATTCCGTGGTTGTGTGTTGATACTGTGGTATATTCCGTGGCTATGTGTTGATACTGTGGTATACTATGTGGTTGTGTGTTGAACCTATACCACTGCATGCATCAACACACAAGCAAAATATATATTGTGGGGTTGTGTGTTGACACAACCAAGATATATTCCACAACCACAGTGTGTCAACACACACAAAACCACGGAATATAACACAGCATCAACACACAACCACGGAATATATCTCAACATCAACACACAACCAAGATATATACCACTGCATCAACACATAACCACAGAATATACCACGGCATCAACACACAACCACGGAATATACCTCAACATCAACACACAACCACGAAATATACCACAGCATCAACACACAACCACGGAATATACCACAGCATCAACACACAACCACGGAATATACCACAGCATCAACACACAACCACGGAATATACCACAGCATCAACACACAACTACGGAACATACCTCAACATCAACATACAACCAAGATATATCCCACAGCATCAACACACAACCACGGAACATACCACAGCATCAACACACAACCACGGAATATACCACAGCATCAACACACAACCACGGAATATACCACAGCATCAACACACAACCACGGAATATACCTCAACATCAACACACAACCACGAAATATACCACAGCATCAACACACAACTACGGAATATACCACAGCATCAACACACAACCACGGAATATACCACAGCATCAACACACAACCACAGAATATACCACAGCATCAACACACAAGCAAAATATATACCACAGCATCAACGGACAGCCACGGAATACACCACAGCATCAACACACAACCACGGAATATACCACAGCATCAACACACAACCACGGAACATACCTCAACATCAACATACAACCAAGATATATCCCACAGCATCAACACACAACCACGGAATATACCACTGCATGGTATATTCATCAACAAACAACCATGTGTTGCATAACACACAACCACAGAATATATTCATCAACACACAAGGTTACACCACAGCATCAACACACAACCAAGATATATACCACTGCATCAACACACAATATATATTCAAAGCATCAACACACAACCACGGAATATACCTGTGGTATATTCACAACCACGAAATGGTTGTGTGTTGACACACAACCACGTGGTATATTATGGGGTTGTGTGTTGATGCATTGGTATATTTCCGTGAACATGTGTGTCAACACACAACGGAATATACCACAGCATCAACACACAACAACGGAATATACCACAGCATCAACACACAACTACGGAATATACCACAGCATCAACACAAAACCACGGAATATACCACAGCATCAACACACAACCAAGATATATACCACAGCATCAACACACAACCGCGGAATATACCACAGCATCAACACACAACTACGAAATATACCATAGCATCAACACACAACCACGGAATATACCACAGCATTAACACTATACAACAGTGAGCGTCCTGTTGGATTGGTCAGTCCAATTATTATAGATTATACCAGAACAACGGACAAATCAAAGAATCCCTACAATCTTCATCGATCGATATAAACATGTGTTTTGATTTGGTTGTGTGTTGATGTTGTGGTATATTCCGTAGTTGTGTGTTGATGCTGTGGTATATATCTTGGTTGTGTGTTGATGCTGTGGTATATTCCGTGGTGTGTGTGTTGATATATTCCGTGTGTGTTGTATATATCCGTGGTTTGTGTTGATGCTGTGGTATATTCCGTACTTGTGTGTTGATGCTGTGGTATATTCCGTGCTTATGTGTTGATGCTGTGGTATATTCCGTGGTTGTGTGTTGATGCTGTGGTATATTCCGTGGTTGTGTGTTGATGCTTGGTCATATTCCACGTGGCCACCGTGTGTGTTGTGGTATGCTGTGGTATATTCCAACAGGTTGTGTGTGTGTGTATGATGCTGTGGTATATTCCGTGGTTGTGTGTTGATGCTGTGGTATATTCCGTGGTTGTGTGTTGATGCTGTGGTATATAGCTTGGTTGTGTGTTTATTTTGTTGTATATTACGTAGTTTTGTGTTGATGCTGTGGTATATTCCGTGGTTGTGTGTTGATGTGTGGTATATTCCGATGTTGATGCTGTGGTATATTCTGGGTTGTGTGTTGATGCACAACCATATCTTGGTTGTGTGTTGATGCTGTGGTATATTCCGTGGTTGTGTGTTGATGCTTTGGTATATTCTGTGGTTATGTGTTGATGCAGTGGTATATATCTTGGTTGTGTGTTGATGCTGTGGTATATATCTTGGTTTTGTGTTGATGCTGTGGTGTATTCCGTGGCTGTCTGTTGTTGCTGTGGTATATACCGTGGTTGTGTGTTGATGCTGTGGTATATTCCGTAGTTGTGTGTTGATGCTGTTGTATATTCCGTTGTTGTGTGTTGATGCTGTGGTATATTCCGTGCGTGTGTTGACACACAACCACGGAATATACCAAAGCATCAACACACAACCCCATGTATACCACAGCATCAACACACAACCACATAGTATATACCACAGTATCAACACATAACCACGGAATATACCACAGTATCAACACACAACCACGGAATATACCACAGTGGTATATTCCGTGGTTGTGTGTTGATGCTGTGGGATATATCTTGGTTGTATGTTGATGTTGAGGTATGTTCCGTGGTTGTGTGTTGATGCTGTGGTATATTCTGTGGTTGTGTGTTGATGCTGTGGTATATTCCATGGTTGTTTGTTGATGCTGTGGTATATTCCGTGGTTGTGTGTTGATGCTGTGGTATATTCCGTGGTTGTGTGTTGATGCTGTGGTATATTCCGTGATTATGTGTTGATGCTGTGGTATGTTCCGTGGTTGTGTGTTGATGCTGTGGTATGTATCTTGGTTGTGTGTTGATGCTGTGGTATATTCCTTGGTTGTGTGTTGATGCTGTGGTATATTCCGTGGTGATGTGTTGATGCTATGGTATATTCCGTGGTTGTGTGTTGATGCTGTGGTATATTCCATGGTTGTGTGTTGATGCTGTGGTATATTCCGTGGTTGTGT